TCATTATACTCCGACTTTAAATATTGAAGTCCGACACATAATTATCGTTATTTTCTATTATTTATTAAAAACTTTCATTCGTCATATTTATATCAATTCGAATAACGGTTTATCTTGTAAGAGATTTTGCTCCAAAACTGCTATCATTTGGCAAAACGAAACATACATTTGCGTGTCATCAGCGTATAACTGGTAGCCGAGTCCATGCCGTCGAATAATGTCACCCAAAGGTTTGGTGTACATGGCATAAAGCTTTGGTCCAAGGACCGATACTTGCGGCACACCGTAACTAAGAGCAAGCGGAGACGAGCGCACACTATTAATGGTTACTGATTGACTTAAATATGATGCAATCCATGCTATGGCATTTCCACTGACTCCAAAGTGATGATGAAGTCGTTTAAGTAATGTTTGATGATCGATAGTATCGAAGGCAGCTGAAAGATTGAGTAAAATAAGTGCAGATGCATGTCCCTTGTCCAGAGACGACAGAATGTCGTTCTGCACCTTCAATAAGGCGGTCTCCGTTGAGTGACTCTTGGATACTATTTCTTGAAGTTGTTCCTCTAAGTGTGCATCAACAACTTTTTTGAGAATCTTCGACAAGAATGGTAGGTTGGATACGGGTCTGTAATTTTTAAGAGCTTCCGGATCCAGGTTTTTCTTAATGAGCGGTCGAAGAAGTGCCCGTTTGAAGACACGTGGTACGTAACCGGTCTGTAGTGATCTATTTATAATAGTCGTTATCAGCGGTAGAAGTTCATCAATACATTCCTTTAGGAGCTATGTCGGTAATGGGTCTAACTCGCATGACTTAGTCTTGGATTTTAAGATGAGTGCTCGTACATCATCTTGAGAAACCATCTCATATTCAACTAAGGGTGTTTCCTCAAATGCGGACTCTTCGGAAACCTGCTGAAAATCTGTTTCCATCTTGTTATCGCTCGTCGATATAGCGTGACGGATATTTGCAATCTTGGAATTAAAGAAGATGTTAAAGTTCTGACAAAGGTCTTCGGCACATAGATTTCTTGGTAGAATTGGATTATCCGTTTCACCAAATAGATGTTTCGAGAGCTTAAATAAGCTCTTCTGATCGTGACCACAGGCAGCTATTTTTTCTGAATAATACTCAACTCTAGATTTATGAAGAAGTCGATTTACAACTGAGCACTGTGACCGGTAGCGTTGATGGTCAACCGCGAGTTTTGTCTTACGCCACTTGCGTTCCAATTTGCGTCGAAGATGTTTTGACTCGTGGAGCTGATCTGTATACCAAGGACAGTTAGGTCTTTGTACAATAACCTTTGTACGTAAAGGTGCATGATTATCAATTAATTCTTGCAAGAACATGTTGTAAGTGGACACTAATTCATCGACGGAATTTAATAAAATCGATCGCGCGGAAATGAATGACTGGACATCTCTCTTGAATGCATCAATGTCAATGGCACGTAGCTTCCTGTAGGTCACTATCTTATAGACTGGACCTGGTTTTGCTATTGCAGTTTTAAAACTGACGGCAAGGTGATCACACGTCAACCTCCCACTTTCCCTGGATCTGTTACAGATATATTGGATATCATACAATTTGTATCTCTGACAATAACGAATAACTGGCCTCATAATGCTAGTATGGTATTTCCAAACAAGTAAAAATACCAGGTGAATAAGTATACAACAGTTCAGCCAGGTCAAAAGAACCAAACCTGACGACATATTTGAGCCAGCAAGAAACGTTGTATAACGATCGCTATGTATTTTTTAAAGCTGAGCAATTAGACAAAGAGTCCACGGAAGCATCTTATGAAACGTGCCACAGCCGTAAATCTCAAGCTCGACAAGCATAAATCAAAACTTGGACTTACAGAAGTTAAGTTTATTGGACACATCATTACTTCAGATGGTCTAAAAGCTGACAACTCAAAAATTGAAGCGATATTCAACATGCCAACACCTACAGATAAAACTGGTGTTAAAAGGGTCATTGGATTTGTTCAATATTTGAGCAAATTTCTTCCGCATCTTAGTGATTTATGTGAGCCACTTCACAAACTTACCCACCATGATGTTGACCTTTTCTGGACAGATGACAAAGCACTAAATAATATAAAAGAAGCAGTAATCAAAACTCCGGTGTTAAAGTATTACGATCCTGCTATAGAACTCATTTGTCAATTGTGAGCATGCGTCGTGTTAGGTAGGAACGTTTGATTTGAGCTCCACATTTTCTTTCAAATTATTCCTTACATTACAAAATCAACGCTAAACACATTATAGTACTCACATTAAATGTACTATGAGGAAAACAAGAAGCAAGGTTGATCAGGAAAATATGGAAAAATCTACGGGAAAAGGGAAAACAAGTGCAGTTAATTCTAGCCAGGCTGAGACAGGTGGTTCAGTTGGTGTTGAGAATTGCGACGGCGGGAGAGCTGACCAAACGCTAATTGCTATTCATAAGCAGCTTGAGAACATAACTGTGCAGCTACAGAAATTGGACACAATTGAAACTAAACTCAACTGCTTTGAAAAAAGAATGGATACCATAGAGAAAACTGTAAGTAAAACTAAAATGCAGTGTTCGTTATTAGAAGACGGTGTCCAAGAATTAGAAAAATCTGTCGAAGAAAACAAGCACGAAATAGAATCTGTAAAAATGGATATGGTCGAATCAGAGGAAGTGCGTATGCTAAAGGCGAAAATAGATGACATGGAAAACAGAATGAGAAGAAACAATATAATTATTCATGGAATTCCTGAGGATGTTGAAGGGAAAAAAAATATTGAGGATTTCGCTATGGAATTTTTTCGCAGCCACTTGAAAATACCAGCTCCTATTGCCTTAGACATAGAGCGAGCGCATCGAACAGGCAAGCGTATTGAAGGAAAATGTCGCCCAATCCATGTCAAGCTCATAAAGTCTTCACAAAAGAACGTCATTTTATCTGGAAAAACAGCAACTGCACTGAGAAATAACCCCTTTCATGGCAACAAGATCTTTATAACCGATGATGTCTCCCATAAAATTCGAATGGAAAGAAAGGACCTGCAGAAAAAAGTAAAAGAATTACGCGAACAGGGGTATTACGCAATTGTCCCATGGTCAATTCCAACAATAATAAAATACAGAAAGGGAGAGGATAAAGTTTTCTCAATCATCAGACCTTCTAAGACAAATTTAGCTGCATTTAAGACAGGAAAACTTACTTCTTATTCTTTATCTTTAAATTGTCATAAAGAACAAATTTTGTATATTCAAGTGTATTTGATTTTAGTCTTCTTTTAAATGAAATAAAACAACATTCTTTTTTTATAACGTAATTTTAGAAAGTCCTAAATGTGCTATTATAATATGTAATTAAACAATAGCAATCAATACTTTATTATTTGAAAAACATGTTTTTATTTTCTATCCTTAAGAGTCTGAAAGAAGGAAATTTTGTATATGCGAGTACTGATTCCAATAGTCTTGTTTCTATTAATAGTCTATTTCTATTATATACCGCCCTAGAAAAATTTAGCTGTTTTTTTAGCGAGAAAAAAAAAATAATAAGACTGTTAAGGACTTTTCTTATGTGACATTTGCTTTCTTCTTAACAAAACAGAATAACATTGCCTTTTTTCATAACTTTTTTTTTAAAGGCTATAAACGTGCTAGCATAATATGCAATGAAAATTGGCACTCAATTCTCTATTACTATTATTATTACTACTACTGCTATTATTATTACTATTAGTATTATTACTGTTAGTATTATTAATATTAATGTTGTTATTATTATTATTAGTATTAATATTATTATTAGTGTTGTTATTATTAATACTACTGTATTACTATTATTAATGTCATTATTATTATTAATGATGGTAATAGTAGTGATGTTAATTTATAAACAGAATAAAGTAAATCTCTCATTACTTTAAATATGTGGTAGCCTCAAAAGTTGCATGCTCGTAGAACTTACCTTACAATTTTTTTAATTGTAGTGATTTATCTTGATTGTTACGTAATGTATTGTCGAATTGTGTTTTTTTGTTATTTGTTTGTTATTGACTTTGTCCTTTGGCTTTGTGCTTTAGTTTTTATTGGCAGTCTGCTTTGTACAATTAATAACACATATTACTGTACTTTTAGTCACAATGAATTGTTTTATATGTAGCAAGGCAATAAACTCTGACTTCAATACATGTATAAATTGTAACAATGTCTCCCATTTACTGTGTTGTAACGATGACTGGATATGTTCTGATTGTTCAGGCACTTTATTTCCTTTTAATATGATTTTAGATAATGACGAATTCAAACATAATCTTAAATATTTCTTTTATGATCATA